TCACTGTTATTGGCACCAGCAGAGTTTGGAATATGGGGGGGATTTCTTGGGTGCAGGCGGAGTTTGACCTAACATGATTGGCGAAGTTTGTATTAGAGGCGGAGTTTCTTGGGTGCAGGCGAAGTTTGTCCTAACGTGATTGGCGAAGTTTGTATTACAGGCGGAGTTTCTTGGATGTAGGCAGAGGTTGTCCTAACGTGATTGGCAAAGTTTGGAATATGGGGGGGATTTCTTGGGTGCAGGCGGAGTTTGTCCTAACTGTGATTGGCAGTTTGGAATATAGGCGGAGTTTCTTGGGTGCAGGCGGAGTTTGTCCTANGTGCAGGCGGAGTTTGTCCTAACTGTGATTGGCAGTTTGGAATATAGGCGGAGTTTCTTGGGTGCAGGCGGAGTTTGTCCTAACTGTGATTGGCAAAGTTTGGAATATAGGCGGAGTTTCTTGAATGTAGCCAGATTTTGGCAAAACCACAATTGGTCAGACTGACTTGTCTTGTGGGACAAGTTAATAGATGAATTAATGGTAGTAGTAAACTTATTGTGAACATGTAAATATAATTTATTTCATGCAGCTAGCACCTTCTTGTCTTGAGCTATAACTTAAATGAATATTTATATTTAAAAATACTGGTGTTTCTGGTCATTTCGACTGGGCAACACATCCCTCCAACTGCTCGGTGTTCATCCAACTGTCGTTATTGCTTCATCAAACCCCGCCCAAAAGTCAATCGACCAATCATGTCTTTAACAAACTCCTCCCACAGTTACTGACTGCAGAGAACCCCCTTCTCGAAACTTTTAGAAACTTTGGGAATTGACAACATAGATTTTAATGAAACCCGGGGTTGCATTTCCGCTTGCGTCCACATCCTATGGGTTTGCTGCTTCTTTTATACTTCATGCTGTATGACTGAGAAAACCACCCATCTAATCATTTATTAATGCTTACAGTAAAGTTTGACTCTTGAATTCTTTATTTTTAGCCTCAACCCTTTTTTTTCCTGTCAGCCCCATCTAGATGTTCTCCATCATGAACACAAAGTCATGGAGCTCCTCTCCATCATATGAAAGAAGCATTATCCTCAATGTGTCGAGCCATAAACTGAGTGAGCGGGGCGGGTGGGGGTCACCGGGGTGGAGGGTGGGGGTACGAGTTCCTCCTTCCAACAAGAACGACAACAATAAGGGAGTCTGTGAGCRGTTTAACTTCTCTGACTCCCTTTCACTCTTCATCCCTCGCCTCCTCTTCGTCACCTTGTGTTAAAGCCTGAGATTAAATGTTAGGGATGACTCTCAGCTACTACCACCCTGAGTCTTAGCTCAATATCTGTAAAACTGACAGAGCTAAACTAATTTCTGTCAGTTATTGGCTGCAGCAGCCATCTTGAATTGAGTTGACGAGTTGTAAAATCATTGGTTCATGAGATATTTTGCTAACAGACAGATAAACAAATACTCTGTTTGAGAAAAGCCAAACTGATTTCCACAACAAGTAAAATTAGTTTTAATAAACCAACGACGTCACACTGATGGTGTGAAACCATGGACTCAGCAGCTCCCCTCGGTGTTGACCCCACTTGTCCTCTCTGCACTCAAAGATCCAATTATGCAGAAATGAATTTATCCCACCAGCTTCTACTTCACCCCCCCCCCCCCCACCCCCCCTCCATGTGATGCATTAGGCGTCTCTGAAGCGTGACTCGTGACCCGACCTTTGCACGGTCCCCGGTTGACCTCCAGCTGGGGGTCRCGGCACTTGGCCCGCAGGAACTCGCAGCGCGACGTGAAGGTCCGGCCGTCGGAGGCGCACAGGGCCTTCCGAGGAGCTCCGCTGCACTCCATGTTGCACTCCTTGTCCTGGTCCACCCGCAGGAACTGCAGAAGCAGGAGAGCAGCACTTTGTAAGAAAAAACAAATCTTTATTATTTTATTATTAATTGTTTGAAAACTATTTTCTGTTCCATTTTTCTCAGAAGTTAAAGCTAAAATTCAGCAACAGAAAGCTTCAGACGCAGCTTCTAGCTGAAAGAGCTAAAAGATGAAAAAAGCTGCAATGACTCATCGTGGTAACCGTGGAAGCCACACACCTGTCTCTCACTCCCTGACAGCAGACAAAAATGCAGTCACTGAAAAGACTGAATAAACTGGATGTCAGCAGGGTTTTGAGACCTGTTGGGTGTTCAGGTAAGTCATATAAAACAATAAACTACCTTTAAATATGTTTTTGTTTTTACAGAAACATGTTTGCACAAATGAAACGAGTCTTTTGTGACGTGTTTGTTCAGTTTTCAGCCTCATACTTTCTTTATCCTTGTCATGAATGCGAGGCACAAAGCAGACATTCAAAGCCTCTCTTTAAACCAAAACCAAGAGACAACACGCCAAGTTTCACTGAGAGAGGATGCACTTCCTGGGAAGGGGTGTTTGTGGGGGGTGGGGGGCACTGGCAATAAAAGAAAAATTTGTAGCGTTTGACGCTTTACAAATGAAGTGAGAAATGAGGTTTGTGTCWAACACTCTCACAAACAGACAGTGGCTGCAGGGCTGCATGCACCTGGAAGGAGGTGCGGGGGTGGGGGCAGTGTGGCCCTGGGCACTGGGGTTAGGGGGGTACACGGCCCAGTCTGTCAGATCTACTCGTAAATCTTCCTCTGAGCTGATCAGACCCGTTTAAACACATCGGAAGCAAAGCCGCAAGGGAGTGGGGAGGAGTGTGTGAGTGTGTGTGTGTGTGTGTG